AGACATTATAGGCTGAAGATGAGTGTAACACTTCACAGAGCATCTTAACCCTCTGCCCCAGGATGTATTGTTTAAATCTTGTGTGTGCGCATTGTTAAAAGTTTAATCAGGGCTTTTTCCTTATCTCATGTTTTAGACACATGCACATGCAGGCATGCACCCCTGTGATCTGTTTTGCATACAAGCTGAATAGTAATATATATTCATTGTAGTAGTCCTGCTATAGGAATTAAATAAACAAAAGGAGGACACTTTTGTACATGAAGTACCCAAGTTTTACATATCTGTAATGCAGATTTATATTACTTTAAGTGGCAGGCTTCTAGATTTGACACACAAACTAGCTTTTGCATAATTACAAAAGATAACATGGCTACCTATCCATTACTTGCAGTTGGCATGTGTAAATAAAACCTGACTGTTTCTACCATATTTCTGCCCTTGCATACCCTAGTCAATTGAAAGCCCTACCCTGTGTAAAGCTAACTGGACTTGATTCCATCAGAAGGGTTCTCATACATCTCATTACTCTGTTATTTCAATGTAATTCATGCTATTCCTGTTGATATTTATTATATGACTTTCATGCATATGTATATACATTGATATATACAGCAGAAATGTGATTGGATCCTCCTGGATCCACACTGATTACTTGTTCACCCTCTTGGAGAGATGTTTCTTACCAGGGGTCTTGTCAGTCCTCTCTTTTAGAGGTGCCTTTTCAAAACAAAAAGAACCTGGACATCTTTCAAAAGCAGAAGCTTGGCAACACAGAAAAATGGTTCAAATTTAGAGTAGATTTGAAGCAGTGATGGACTGCTTTCTAGAACTGCATTACGTTATTTTTTTAAAGTATCTATTTCTTTCTTTGGCTTTCCTAACAGCTCAGTTTCAGACCCCCTATCAAAGCACCTTTCCAGTCCTTCAAGTGATGTTCTGAGGTAGAACTATATATGGTCCACTCTTGCATAAAATATAATAACCAGCTTGAACTTAGGCACACATGGAGATTCCTGTGTCTGTCTGTCTATGTTTTTCTCTTTCTCCAAACAGTAAATGCAGTATGTCTCTTCAAGAACTGCCTTTTCTGAAGGAAAGTATTATAGTGAGGACAGGTAACACTTCAGGATGAGTATTTTCCACAGGAATGCAATCCATAAAGACAACTCCTTGCAATACTTGAAAAAACAGCATGTTACATACGAAATGCTTAGGGTAGTCTTACTGATGTGGCATAACTGAAATAGTTAGTTTGAGTAGATGACCCAGATGCTAGCTTTTGAAACTTTAATGTCTAAACTACAAATGCATGATACTCTTAGCTAATGTGTAGTTAGCATAACAGAAATGATTATTGGGATTCTATAAGAAGCACTTGTCTTCAAGGTCCACCAACCAGTGGTACAAAAAAATGAGCCTTGAAATTCTAGTACCTGCAATAAATACTTGAAAAGGATTTGCTGTTCAACTCATTAGATGTTCTGCCGTGCCTCATCTTTGATAGGTTTGTCCTGATCACATCTTCGTTCTGCTTTTGTGGTAAGAAAGAGATGCCACGCTCTTTTGTTTTTTCTTCTTACCATTCTCCTCTTTCTGACTTCATATTTCCCCTGATATCATTTACTCTTGCTCCATTCCTAAATCTTCCTGTCCTTGTTCTCTCCTCTTATTTTTTTATATCATTCTTCCAAGTTATGTAACTGGAGAAAAGCAGCCATACATTCGGCTGTTGGAAGTAATAGTCCCTCTCTGGGCTTGCAAAATTTATCTTGTACTTCACATGAACTATTTCTTGACTGATGATGTGTTAATATACTAACACAATTTATAGGCATAATATCTTAATTTGCTGTTGGCGTAACTGGTGTTAGATAATAATTGTGAATGTTCTCCAATTCCATTAACTTTTAAATAGACAAGGACAGAAAATTCTAGCACATCCATTTAAATGGTACCTCTTGTGAGACAGATCCCAGCTTCAGAGATTCCATATGGGTTGTTTTTCATGTCTTACCAAAAAAGATTCTGAAACAGATTTGCATCTTGTATAAAAATTGCACTTCAGCAGTCCTCTTCTTCAGCTTTTTGACCTGTGTTAAACAAATGCTTGAAGGAAAAGATTACAATCTAAAGTGCAGTAATAATCTTCTTTCATGGTATCAGTTGTTTTCTGCATTTTCCACTAGTGTACTTTTATGTGCTTGGAGTGCTAATCGTGCTGGCTTTGCTCGTGCTTGTCAGGCAGTAGAAGTTGAGAAAATAAATCTAGGGACGGAGGGATGAAGCATTAGAACAGGATACTTCTGGAGACCTCTTTGCAGTCCTCTATGAACTGCTTCTTCCCAGGTTGCTGCTCATAGTGGTTAAGTTCCTAATATTGAGTTAGCATAAACGTCCTCTGGAAAAGATGCTTGTGTGTTGCTGCCTGGAAATGTCTTGGGATAGACTAGAAATACGGTTCCTGAGACAGTGAAGCTGTGATGTCTTTCTGCATGGGTATTGCCCTTCTACATATCACAATCCTGTTCTTACTTTTGAGGTCTTAATGTTTGTTTAGGATTGAAATTTATGCAGTAGAGTTCTTGCCTTGTCTAGGAATTTTTGTTCTCAACCCTTACAGTAAGTTAGCCTTTAAAAAAAAAACTATAATTTTTATTGAAATGGTGAAAGAAAGGATCCAGATTTTATTGCTATAGAAAAGGTGAACTTCTTGATGCCAGTAACACACTAAATATTGCTAGCTTATTATCAGTTGATACTTTCTTTTAAAATCTTACATGGAACTGAATTACTTATTCAGAATAGTTAATGAAAGGGAAAGTGTTTATGGAAAAGAAACTTTTTTTACACTTGGTGGACCTTTGGGACTTTAGGCAATTTTAAAACTTACAATTATGATTCTCTCTGAATTAATGCCAGACTTGCTGTTTTTTCAGAAGCCTGGAAAAATGCTTGCATCTGCTAAACGTTTGTAATTCGTTGTCGCTTTCAGTAGTCCAGTAGACTGCACTTCATAAACGAATAGTGTGCTTGACTGAGGAATAGCTAGAGTGAAATGAATTATTCTGGGATGACAGAATATGTTGTCGTAAGGAGCACACATCAGGCCACCTGAAAGGCCAGAATAGTGCTTAAACTGTTTATGGGCTCTCCTGTGTCTGTCTCCGGAGTTCAAAGTTAGGAGTGCAACAGTATCTAGGTGTATGTTGATACTTCTTATCTGTAAATTGTCAAGTGTTCAGCTTCCTTGTGTGTGTGCGAAAATGAAATAGATTGGGTTGCCCCTTGATTATTCCCTCTTATTATGAAGCGCAAACTGGATAGTTTGATCTTGGATGGGTTGTTTACTTCAATTACAACTTTAAGTTGTAAACAGCGACTTCACTTATTTGTGCTTCTGCATACCTGTTAAGACTTGTTGGCGACAGTATGAAGAGTCTGCTAGCACATAGGATGACCTGTTTCAAAATAAATTTTCAAGAAATAAAAGTGAACATCTAGACACTTGTATAAGCCACCTGTTTCCTGTAAAAAATGTTAGGGAAAATAGATAAGAATTCAGCATTTATGTTTAGTTAAGAGGCAACCATAGATTGTAAATAAATTTCAGTTTAATCAGTTAAGAGAATGTTGCAGTTAAGCAGCTGCAGTGCCAAATGAGCTAGCGTTAACCTGAAGACAAGTCTTTGATAATTATGCCACTCTCACGTCAGGTGGGATATGATTACCTACAATGCAAATGCTGCTCAGTGACTCAAAGTGGTTGGGTTGGTATTTGTCTATTGTGTTTTTGCTGCGTTAAGCTCAAACTGATCATAATATCGCCTAATATAAGCCAAACACTGTTCTGTGTATCAGAGCTGGACTCGGACAAAGCTCAAGAATGCTGAATGGTATAGTTAAAGCTCTGTGTAATGTCAAATGGTCAGTACTACTGTAGGGCAGAAGAAAGGCTAAACTGTCTTTTATATTCCCTCCTTCCCTGTTCTAGGGACTGAAAAATAATGTTGTTGAAAAATGAGTGTATTTATTGTTTGATTTCCTCTATGAAGAAGGGAAGCCCTGTTTCCCTCTGCGTAAAACTTTGCAAGAACCACTGGTTTCCTGGATGAGCAACATACTACTTCCGTTAGTACAGGAAAGTTGAAATAATGCTCAAGTCTTAGAGGGATTTTTCATTCTACCCTCTTAAAACTAGTCAGGGTGGTTAAAAATCCTGTATGTGTCTCAAACGGAGCAGTACAGATCTTGAAACGCCTAGAGCTTTCTGGAGAAAAGTAGGCAGTAGTTTAAGGTATTATCTGCTTGCAGAACAGCAGGGAAAATGATTTTATGATGAATTAAATGGTAAGGATATTCTTGCTGGAACAATCATAAACGTTGCTAGACTGTTAGTGTAAGCTGTAATGCATCAGATCAACTGCTAGTCTTTCATGAATGTTTCTTATATATGAAGAATGACAGCAATATCTCTTAAATGCTAGTATTTATTCCGTGTCTGTTTGCAATAATTAAATCTAGAACAACTGCAGTGTTTTGTGCTGTGACAAAAATTGAAGAAATATGTAAAATGATGAAGATGCCTTCTTCATTTAAATTGACTTAATATGGAAGTTAATCTTGTGCACATTTGGAGTTGAGGGGATGTCTTGCTGAGTGTATAGTTTGTGTGTTTTTAAGTATTTTCTGAAAACAGGGAATTTTTTCATGCAGTCTCTAGACAATTTTTTTGTAATATGTTCAAGGCTTCTTTACTATAATTATGTATGCTTGATGCAACAGAACTTGATACAAATGAAGTCGTGTATTTCATGTTCTCTGTTGTCTTGGTTTTGGTATCCTGCTTTTTGAAAACTTAAAATAGGGCCAGATATGATGCTTCAAATTTGCTCAGCACCCATGTCTCTCACGTGGTAGTTACATAATGTGGACAGCTTTTCAAACTTTGCAAAAGATCCCTCCAAAGCTTTAAAATGTTCTTTCTTTTTCTCTTTAAGGTTTGGACCCCATGGAATCCCTGTGACCATATTTCCTAAAAGGGAATACAAGGATAAACCTGAAGCCATGCAGCTCCAAAGTAAACCATTCCAAGATGAGGCACAAGTGAAGTGTGAATCTAATGCTGCAGTCCCTGATGACTCTTCTCCCACGCAGCCATCAGAACCTAGCTTAGCTAAAAGCCTATGGACTTCTAAACCACCTCCTCTCTTTCACGAGGGAGCGCCATATCCTCCCCCTTTGTTTATCAGGGACACCTATAACCAGTCAATACCTCAACCTCCGCCCCGGAAAATTAAGCGGCCCAAGCGTAAAATGTACAGGGAGGAACCTACTTCTATTATGAATGCTATCAAGCTACGACCGAGGCAGGTCTTATGCGACAAGTGCAAAAACAGTGTTGTTGCAGAAAAAAAGGAAATTAAAAAAGGTGGCAATGCAAGTGACTCTTCCAAATATGAGGATAACAAAAAACGAAGAAATGAGAGTGTGACTACTGTGAATAAAAAACTTAAGACTGACCATAAAGTGGATGGAAAAAGCCAAAATGAAAGCCAGAAAAGGAATGCTGTGGTCAAGGTTTCAAACATTGCCCACAGCAGAAGCAGAGTAGTTAAAGTTTCTGCACAAGCAAATACTTCAAAAGCGCAGTTAAATACAAAAAAAGTTCTCCAGAGCAAAAACATGGATCATGCAAAAGCTCGGGAAGTCTTGAAAATGGCCAAAGAAAAGGCACAAAAGAAGCAGAGTGCAACCTCCTCTTCCAAAAATGCACATTCAAAGGTCCACTTCACACGGCGTCTTCAGAACACCAGCTCAGGTTCCCTCCCACCCCGATTGCGTTTAAAGCCACAAAGATATCGGAATGAAGAAAATGACTCTTCTCTCAAGACAGGACTTGAGAAAATACGGAGTGGCAAGATGGCAACTAAGCCCCAGTCTCGCTGCTCCTCCACCCGCTCAGCAGGTGAGGCCCCTTCAGAAAATCAGAGCCCCTCAAAAGGCCCTGAAGAGGCCAGCAGTGAGGTTCAGGACACACGTGAAGTGCATGTAACTGTTGATCAGGATGAACACCAGACATTGGGCAAGAGAGGCAGCAAAAGCAATATAACGGTTTACATGACCCTTAATCAAAAGAAATCTGACTCTTCCAGTGCATCAGTTTGTAGTAGTGATAGCACAGATGATTTGAAATCTACCAACTCTGAGTGTAGCTCTACTGAAAGCTTTGATTTTCCTCCAGGCAGCATGCATGCACCTTCTTCCTCCTCCTCCTCCTCAAAGGAAGAGAAAAAGCTCAGTAATTCCTTGAAAATGGAAGTCTTTTCCAAAAAAGTCTCTAAATGTGTCACACCAGATGGCAGGACCATATGTGTAGGGGACATTGTTTGGGCCAAGATTTATGGCTTCCCTTGGTGGCCAGCCCGTATTCTTACCATAACTGTGACCCGGAAAGATAATGGCCTTTTAGTTCGACAGGAGGCTTGTATATCGTGGTTTGGGTCCCCAACAACATCTCTTCTTGCTCTTTCACAACTATCCCCCTTTTTAGAAAACTTCCAGTCGCGCTTTAATAAGAAGAGAAAGGGCCTTTACCGCAAGGCCATCACAGAGGCAGCTAAGGCTGCTAAGCAGCTCACTCCCGAAGTTCGGGCCCTGCTGACACAGTTTGAAACGTGAACATGGAAAGTAAGGTAGGCAAGAAATCTGAAGGCTCCACAAAATTCATAGCCTAGTTAGAGAACTACCATGAAGGACTTACCAAGTCAGAAGTTGCACTCGGTTGACTGCTCTTTTTATACTAAAATTGTTCCATTTGTAGCGGTTTCTTGAAAGTTAAACAGATTGAACATGCAATCATTATTAGCCTAAAGTAAGAATTTCAGTATTTTTCAAGTCAGTTTTTTTTTGTTTTGTTTTTTTAACTCCTCAAATACCCAATGCATAGGAGCCATAGCCTCAGCTGAAAGGCAGCTTATTTGCAGGGAATTTTTTAGTAGTTTCTACCCAGTATGTACCTAGTTGCTATGTGGCAAAGGGTTAACACAAGGGATGAAAGTAGTAGCTGTGACTTTTTTTTTTCCTTTTTTTTTCTTTTTTTTTTTTTTTTTTTTCCTAGCCCATCAGGGAAGTATAGAAATGTAAGCCTTGTCTAAATGGTCTTTAAATGTTATTTGAAATGGTTTCTAATGTATTTAGTCTGGCCAGTGCAAGTGGGTCCAAAGCGTGTGTAAACATCTTAAGACAGCAAGTCCCAGTCCACATGAGCCAGTTTAAATGCCATTAGACTTGACTAAAATTTTTAAGGAAGAAAAATTTGTGTAATTTAAAGACCAGATTAAATGGGGTTTTTATCTTAGTGACCACTTCTTAAACACTCAGCCTTTCTATGCACATGGGGGCACAAACATAACACTTCAGGGTCTGAGAAGTTGAGAGGGATGCCTGTAGCTCTAAGACAAAGCTGAGAAGTTGCTCAGTGTTTGGGATCAAGGGCTGTTAATGCTGCATAGGTGTGAATCATAACTTCTGGTCTTTCTTCCTGAAGAAATCTTTCAGGCCATTTGCCTGGAGGTTTAGATTAAGAGAGGCTTTGTTTTGAATGTGTAAATAATTGATTGCTTAAATTGGTCAGATTTTCTCCTGACTGGTTGTTCCTAAATTCTTAGGATACGTCCTAGTAAATTACACTTTGTGAATTGTCAGATGTGTAATTGTTGCATTTTTGGATGTATCTAACTTTTTTTTTAATATTTCCGTTTAAGGTATCTGTTTGCAGGTCAGAAAATGAGAATATGTAATTGTGTAATGCTCTGAAATGTAAAAAAAACGAACTGTAAATAAAATTGACTAAATCTGAATTATTTGTGTGTGTTTCTCAAAAAGCTTTGAAAAAATTTCAGGATGTTAGAGTATTTTATATGTATGCCGCATATAGAGGACACCCTTTTAAAAAGTAAATTGTCCTTTTTCACTCATTCTTAAAGATAACTGCTTGATATAAAGTACTAATGATATACTTAAGTCTTAATTTTGAGATTAAGCAATTATCTGTCCCTTTTGTTTCGAAACTAGCTCTGTAGAGGGCTTTGTTTTAGCTGAGGTTCACAAAAATTTTCCCTTAATTAGGTTTTATTCCATATATTTGAATAAAGACTGTGGATAATGTTACTTGTGCAGTGGGGAAACGTTTTCAATTTTTTCCATCTGTCAGAAGTTAATCAGACCCGCTCTCCATTGTTACTTCAGCTTTTCTTGCATGCCTGTTGCTCAGTGTTGGGCATTTTCATGCAATTGATTTCATTCCCCTCCCTCCCTCCCCTTCTAGTTTTGGTCCTTATCTGACCATATGAATTACCCTGTCTTCTCCCACCCACTCCTGTTTCAGCCTTGCACTGTCTTGTGAAGAATTTGTCAACCTTCATCCTAGAGCAGTTTTCATCCAGTATTTTTTTCTGTAATTGCCTGTGTAGGCAATCATGACAGATGTAAAAATTTAAGCTTAGATTGAAATTAGATTTTAAACAGACATGAAAATGAGGGAAAGGATTTAATCATCAAACCCTTAAAATCTTTTTAACTTAATCTTAAATTTTATACATTCATGCTACTATGTGGTCTTTCCAAAGCATTCAATTTCTTTTAACCGTTTTAAATTGTTCTGTTGTGCCCACAGAACTATCTGAAATCTAAAGTGTTGAACCCATGGCAGCCCAAATTTCCTGGGAAAAGTATGGTAATCTCTGTTAGGTGCTAATTTAGCTTCCAAATATATTAGCTTTCCCTTGGCATTCTAACTTACCAAAAAAACCTGGTCAATGCTTTTTGAACATGATAAACACACAAATTTCATAATGTGAAAAATCCTATTTCACTCCTATGTATTCTTTCCTGCAAACAGAAACAGTTAACTCTATTTAAGTAAATAAACCTTTGTTACTAAAGCAGACTACTTTTTGGAGCCAAGAACCCATACAACATGGTTTAGATGTTTGTGCTAGCTTCTTCAGGTTTAGAAGCTCAAACAAACTGGTTGTAAGTTACAGTTGTTTTGAGCTAAGTAGTGGTAAAAATTCTTACTTTTTTTTTTCTTTCTTTTTAAAAAGACCTGGAAGCTTTGTACACTTACCCTATATAGACTTAGAATAGTGCTACAGCGTACCTAGTCAAAGTTTGCTCACGTGGTCACAGCTGAGATAGGAGAGCAGCAAGTATTGGGGGAGGTTTCTTCTTCATGTTCAAAAGAAGTATTAGAAAAGACACTTATGAGTCTTAGTTATTACACTTGATCAGTCTTTTGAGGAGTCATTATTAAGCTTCATAGTCTGTAGGGAATGTGCATCATCACTTTAGACTTAACTGGTCTCAAAACTGATAGACTAATTTCTTTCACATGACACCATGTTATGTTAGGTCAAGAATATCCTGTTCATACTGTCTTACTAGGTATGTTTTTTTCCTTCCTTTCACTGAAGAGTAGCTGCATGTCTAGATGTAAGAGTTGACAGTAGAGTAACTGTTGGGCTTAACACAAAGTCTGGTTGTTACAGTAAGTAACCTTGGTTATAGAGGTATGGATACTGCATGTAGTTTTCAAGATTTTAAAGCTAGGCCACAGCTTGGTGTTCTTTAACTGCAAAAAAACCCACAAACTGTTATGTGCCTGTCTGATCCCAGCGATATTAACAGTTTGAATGTGAACTACTGTTCTTGCAGTTCAGTACATGTCTACATCTCTAAATTAGATTGGCAATTTAAATGACTTATCAGATAACTGATGACAGCAGCATGTCTTTACGGTGCCAGGACAGTGCATCTGTGTAATTAAGCTGTGCAACTGTTGCAAGCAGCATGTCTTGTGAAGACAAGCATCAAGATAAAGAGTGACTCTAAGTTTGCTATTAGTTTAATATAGTAAATTGCAGATGATATGTTTCTGAATTAACGAAATTCCTCTGGGTAGTTGGTGAACATGCATGGTATTTCAATTTTGGCAGGGGGCGGGGTGAGAGTGAGTCTTTAATACAAGCATACTCTTCCTTTGAAGATCTTTAAATTCAGTTAAATGTTTTGGGGAATAGTTATTCCAGTGCTTACGAACGTGATCGCTTCATGAATGAAGCTAGAAGCAAATGTTGCATGCTTACATTTCTCTTAAGAGAAAGTAAGAGTTCTGTGGGAAATTGAACCTTTTTTATTTGTCTAATCAGAGTTATAATTTTATATGGCAATACTTACATAAGCCAATCATCTCTGATCATACTATATTTTATTTTACACAGTGTTATCTTTATTTTGGAAGCTCAGTAATTGAGAACTACCTCACCAAGAAGGCTGTTTAGGAGGAATGTGAAGAGTTCTTCACTTTTAATTTAGGCCAGCTGTGCAAGGCCTAGCAGATTTGTTTTTCAGTATGTCGTAGGATATCAAAAAAAGCAGCAGTTTCTAAATGTGATTAGATTTAAGAATTATCATATCAATGGAAGCGATATGAGTGTTTTTTTGCATTGCTAGCCTCAGATTCTTTTCTAGCTGATGCACTTAAGTCTTGAAACTAATATCGACTCACATTGTCCGTAAACTTTTGTATAAGTTGTCATTGTAGAATAGGAACATGAACCTTGGAAAACAAATCTTAGTAGCTAGTCCTCCATAGCATTATTCACTGTTCTCAGGAGCATTCTCTGCAATACAGTGGGGAAACAGAGCTGACTGCTTGGCTGAAGAGTTCAGGAAAACTAATAATCAATGCAAAGCAGTTTCAGTTCCTCTCCTCTTTCTTTGTAATTGCATTCTAACAAGTACAAGAGCAAGCAAATTCGGTCAGTGCAGCGGCATCGCTGCATTCTAACTATTAAATATTATAGATATTATGAATTGGAAGAAAAATATAGTAAGCTTGTAGTTACAAGAGTAGCAAGATGACAAAATTTTTGTCGTAAGCCATTTGGTAAGAGTGTAGGTATCCTATGTAAAAACAAACAAACATGAAAGTGATCTTAAAGTACAGAGTTTATAGTAGTTTAAAGGTTGAGATGCTGTATCTTTCCATTTTTATCTTCAGTTTAGTTTTGTAGGGATATAAATAGAAGAGTCTTATGGAACCTGAAGGAAAAGAGAAGAGATACTGTAAGGAGGAGAAGTATGAGTTGGTTGCCTGAGAATAATAATATGTTGCTCTCCATATTTGGAAGGAGAGAAGATGTTTTTGTAGTTTAAAAGCCTGCAGAAAAGTTCTAGTGAAGTGTGTGTCACATTGGTCAACTGTTCAAACTTAACTTCCTTCCAGAATATAAGCCAAGCTTATGGAAGTTGAGTGGCTTGTTACAGGATTTTATGTCAGTTTAGGCTATGCTTACATTAATTATCTGTTTTATTTTTTATCATAGGACATAGTAGCATACCTTTTGTGGGTATATACAGGCTATACCTGCAATAGTATAATAAAATCACCCCTATGAATAAAGCAAGTTTTATCAGTAGCAACAGAGGTCTCCTTGGATAACTTAACTAGCTTAAGGGTTTCTTCTAACATGGCTGTATTGAGCAGAGATTGTCCATGTTTAACGTAAGGGCAGTTAGAAGCCTGTAATATTGACAACCTTTGTAGTAACTATCAAGCTACAAAAAGATCCACTAAATCTTGTTATGTGAGATGTGGATGCAAGAATTCAGCTTCAAAGCATTTTTCATT